TAGGTCCCTCTAAGCTTGTTTCCTGCCTCGATCGGTTCCGAAGATTGGTAGTCCGCTGCTGCGATACATATTCCTGGTTTATTCAGGTAATTGGCATTTCAGCAATAGGTCTTTGCGCCAAGGCAGAACAAGCTCCGAGGGGTCTGGAAATCGGTCTGTCTCCCGTGAAACACCCGCGCCCTTCCCCACAAAGGGCCCCGCACCCCCGTTCCTGGGGCATATGCGTTTGATCCTGCGCTTGGAGTCTATACCATCGGATCAGTTGCTTTTAGCCAGTCCGGAAACCACCGCAGAGGGGTCGCGTTTAAAATATTCGAAAAAATAATAGCTGCGGGGCGGGGGGGGGGTCTGCGCAGGTACCTCTAAAATCATCTTTCATAAAATAAAATCATTTTTAAATAATCGCTTTAATCAGTTGAGCAGATTTGCACCCCGGCTTCCTTTCCGCCTACGAAAGGTACGCATGTTCGTCCGACCAGAAACAAGTAAAAGAAAAAAAGAAAAGAAAAGAAAAGAAAAGAAAGAAAAGAAAGAAAAAATCTCTCTCTGTGTGTCTCTCTGACTCTCTCTCTCTCTTGCCAAAAAGAAACGAGAACTACCTTTTGCCCCCACTACCATCAACAACGCGATCAATTTTCAGGCGCTGCAGCAGGGAAAAAAAAGATTCAAAAGTCTTAGGAGGCTGCGAACCGCATTCTTACGGGTTCATGTTGTAATTGAGGGGTTATCAAAAGCAGAGGGACGTGCTCGAGCCGAACATATGCTGAACATCCGTAGAGTTCCCAACTTTATTAAAAGCGTACAAACAGGGCCTTAATGAGACGCCATTTTGAGGCGTGTGGGTGGGTGGGTGCGTTTGGTGTGAGTGTAATAATCTAAAAGCCTTCTTGCGTTCCTGCTCCCCCCCCAAAAAAAAAGTTCGAATTTGTAGAATTCTCTTAACTCGATTGCGTCCCGAAAACCACAGTTGCCCCCATGTGCTCAAACAAATGCCACAATCCCGCATTTTTAAAAAGGCCTTATATCCTACCTCCCTTTTATCTAATCTTGTGCTCATCAGAGGTATTTTTTTAAAAGCAGGAGGTAAAATTAATCGTACATTCAATTATGCATAGTTAGGGGGAGGGAGGGAAACAGTTAACGACCCACAAGAGTCTCTCAGCGGCAGAGCGCTCCGGCAAAAACGGGACGAGGAAGGTATTTTATTTACAGATCTCTCCGTCGGAGCTCAGGGGTCCCTCCCGCAGAAGTTACTGGGAAGCAAGGGAGCAAAGTCGTTCCCCTCCCCTCCCCCAGTCCGCCGCCAAGCGAAGGTGGGCTGCCGGGAGCCGGTTAAGCTTGCATCAAGTCCACTTGCCAAAGCCACTGTCTCCGTCCCTCGGGGGGGCTTTCCAGTTCCGTCCTGGCCAAGTTTCCGAAGCCAGCATCGGGTCCCTGCGGAAATTTCAGCGGGCAGCTGGGCCCAAGGCGATGGTCTGGTGGGCCTTGGCTTGCATGGCCGGCCGGGGTTACGCAGCCTACGTGATGTCACCGAAGAGGACTCGCCCCCGGGAAAGCCTGGCCTGGCTACACAGTCAAGTTTATGGGGCCTCGACTCCAAAACTCGAGAAGAGGGGAGTGTTCACACACACGCAGCTGGGGAACCCTTCGCGGAGAAGCGCGGGTGTGGCCGGTCGCCTGTGTGCGTGTGAAGAGCCCTGTCCGACGGGGCTCCAGCCCTTCCAACCACAAGCAAAACAAAACTATATGGATGTATAGCACGCAGGCACACAAACACACACCCGCGCGCACGTTCTCCCCAATCTTGGAATCCCCATCCACTACACAGAGAGGGGGACAGAAGACGCTAACCGAGCCCCCCACTCCCTGCGCTCCCCTCCCGAGTCCCGACACAGGAGCCTTCTCTCCAAAACCCGAAGAAGACCACGGCCGGCCCTCACCTTCCTCCCACTGAGAGCTACCATCTCCCCACCAAGTCACCTACTGGCAGCTTCCCATACGTTATGGAAGGACTCCAGGCAGGGACAGGAAACAGGTTGGCTTGCCGGGTGTTTGTGCGTCACCCGGAGAGGTCCTCCGCAATTAGCCCGGAGGATCATTAACGCGGCTTTACACCGGCATCCCCCAGCCTATGAGGGAGCCCTGATCCGGACGGACCTTCCGAGCGAAAAAAATAAAAGTTGTCCTATGCAAAGCCTCGAAATGCCTGCTAGAAAATTTTAAAAGGGGGGGGGGAGGAGGAGGAGGAGGAGCAGGAGGAGAGAAAGAGAAACCCGGGGAAAGGGGGGGGGGGCTTGTAAAACTTTTATGCCAAACAAAGTTATAAAAACTTTCCATGCGTTAAGATATCAAAAGGTTTATAACAATAATAAAGCGCGTATGCGCCTTGAGTTGGCGGCGGCGGCGGGGTGAATGCGTGTTAACCTCCTTGCAGATACACTAAACCCACGGCGCTGGCTGAGTTAAATATTAAGTGCCATAAACACCACAGCTTGGTTCGAAATTTTTATTTTTGTTTGCTGTTTTTCTTTTTTAAAATGCTCTGGCCTCCCCCCCCCCCCGCGCGCCACAGCA